TGACTTTAATTCTGAGTCATAGAATATTGTCATCTTGACCACCCAACCCAGAAAACACCACAACATTTGTTTAGGGTGGACAAGTGTCAACCAAATATGAACCTGTTAATGAGAACAAAGTTGAACTCCTTTCCGGTGATGCTTGAAATCTTGTCTCTGATGGCGGCAAGGAGGGGTAGCCATGGGCGGGCGTGGACAGTGTTTCCAGAGAAGGAGTATGACAGACCAGCGTCACCATGGGCAACCTAAAAACAATTTATTTTTTTTCTCATTGCCCTATTGGGATTTCTTAAATCTATTACCGGTAATGTGATAAACTTTATTTATTATCATGTTCAGTAAAATTCTAATTTCTAATATTTAGTCATCTTTACATTTGTGCTATGTATCAATCAAATTAGGAGTCAACTAGCCTATGACACAGTTCACCAGGAGCTGGGAGAAACACTGATATACCCATATACATTAAATTTTATGCATATTTTCAGAAAAAGTGCCCAAGCTGTTTGTGGAATGTAGTTTCAAAAAGAAATGATAAAACAGTCCAATTGTATGAATAAACACAAGCGGGCTACAAGGAAAATAATTGCCTGCTCTTTAACCAATCAGAATATTATTTTAATGTGTTCACATCGAAGCAGCCAGCGGCCCGATCCACAAAGCCTTCATAGCGCTACGACATTCGCAGGTCTATGATCAACTATGGAGTTACGATAGGTCGTAAGATTGCGAATACTTTGCGGTTCTGGACCCAGGTCATCAAGCTATTCAGTGCCCTTTATAATGGTAAATGGTGTTTGACGACATACTAATAAATGTTACCGGTCGATAGTTAAACTTGACTATGTTAATTCACTTCTTTGAGAGGCATTTAGAAGTTGGAGTACTAGGTAAGGATAAGATACATGGATAAACAACTTCCTGTTACAATTAGGAGTGTCATTTCGGTGTAGGTCCTAACACCGCTATCAAGCAAGTGATGTGCTAAGTATGGTTGACAAGTATGTATACAGGTAGGAGGCAGTATTTGTAATAACAGTTGAGTAGATTTGGATGAGGTGCCATCAATCAACTGTGATCAAGTCTATTACATATCTCCTGCGTACCATCAACTCATCAACGACCCCAATCAGACATAATCCTTTTGTTTATACTACTGGCTTCACCGGCTAAGATGTTTGACCTGTTGTAAACATAACAGGCATCTCCACTCCAGTGTAACTACATCCCAATCTACTCAAGTGTATAGACACTGCCTCTAGGGCAGGGATGGTAACTCGGTTTGGGTGGGTACTGAGTAGGACCCGGGTATCCACAGGACTACCCGGACCCATGGTTAGTCATGTGATATATTGTTTAATGACAAAAATTATCTAAAACTCTATGGTTACACTACAAGTTACTAATGTTCCCATTTCTTTCTGACTATGCACCCATTCCTTCTGACTTGTATATGTTTGAATACCCAGGTAGAAAATTTGGACTCATCCCAGCCCTAACTGCCTCACACCTGTCCATATGCTTGTCAATCATACACTTGCTTGATAACGGTGTTAGAACCTACACCGAAGCTTCCTCACAATTGTAACAAGAAGTTGTTCATCCATATATCTTATCCTTACATATTAATTCACACACTGTTATTTCTCTGGAATACCTGTTTTCTGGGAATGTCATGCAACTTGCCAAAGCTCTGCACCTTGGTGAGATCTCCTGAGTTATATTCAATCACCCTCTCACATTCGGACATTAGCTCGTCCGCCTCACGGGGAGAATACAGTCGCAGGTAGTCACAATCTAACTTTTCACCCGAGATTTTTCGACATTTCAGATCCGGTTTCGTAGTCACTGTCGTCAACAACTTCGTCTCTGCATCGACGTCGTCTTGACTGTCTTCATCCACACGTGGACTTGCATCAATGCTGTGAATGGCTCCAGATGTCTGTTCCAAGTCATTTGCTTTGCCATCAGATATTACAGAATCCTCAGATTCAACAGTGACATTGGACGGAGATATTTTAGAATCTTCAGATTCAACAGTGACATTGGACGGATCGTGTTTTGTTTTCTTGTTTTTACTGACTTCGACACATTCATCAACAAATGGTGTTTTTCTCTTCGTCTTTTTGACGAAACTGTCAAGTGACATTTCAGAATTGTCCATGTTGTGATTGCACAATATGGTTGCTGTCAGCACTAAATATAGATCTATGCCTTTTGATCACAGTTGGTTAGAGTGACTTCCCTTGGATACCACCAGGTAATAGATGCGTTACTAAAATATTGATTTCTCCCCACACTTGATGGGAGTTGTTAAAAACAACTGAATTTGATTGTAAATCTTTCAGCTTAGTATTAATGTACTGTGCACATCTAGAATGTACATAGCGAACACCCATACAGCTGTTTTCAACACACGCAGATTCGGATTCAAATGCATAAAGAAACAGATCAACAATTGGTTCCGCCAACTCCTTGCCTGAATGTCTTACACCGAAATTGTACATATATGTTATCAATGAGGGAGTCCGGCATTTCATGTATTGTTGAAGATAGATATGTAACTATATTAACATGTCAAATTTAACTCTGATATTGGTGAGGACTACAATGAAACATTTTCAATACATGAATTGCATACTGCACTGGGGCAAGCCCATGACACTGCCGCAGGAACCGACAACATGTCAGACAGAGCCACAACTGCAAGCACTAATAATTTTCTCCAGAACTGTAGTTACATTACCATGGTTACATAGATTTGCAGATAATTCAGATTTAGGGAAAAGTGTTATTTTTCTCCGAAATTGGGAAGTCCTTACTGTCTGAAAGTAAAATTTATTTCAATATTGCATATGTTTATTGAAGCTTTAAAAAAAATACTTGGCTCATACATTGGTTCAGTTATCACTGAAGTACAAGTCACCTTTGCACAGCTAAAATGTTTGCTATTATAACCTGAACAAGAATAAATATAAGGTAAATCCTTGGGAATTGGGGATACATGTTTGTATTAAATGTTTGTGTTGGTTATATATTCATATACAAATATGTACCTCAGGTATATTCTTGTAGCAATCTTGCCAACATCAGCCACAGTGGTAATGGTTGTCCTGAATGTCCCCACTGTAATAGGTCATCATTTTACCAAATCAGGTCCTGTTCCTATGGTTACCTCTGGGGCACCTTGCCTGGTGACAATTCACCAATTTATTTCCAGGGTTTAATTCTGGCCACGTGTGCACATTATGAACTCCTGAGATATTGCTAAAACGTTCATTCACCGAACCTGCTCAAAGACACAGAATGTGTTATTGACAATTACCTCTATCAAATATATTTTTAGGATCCTTCACAAACATCCCCCCTCAACGTAAAATTCTCAATTGTTTCACTTCTCCCTTTTACATGACAACTACTTCGATGACCTTTAAGTCAGTCAAGATGGTTGGAACGCAGCGCTACTCCAGATTTCATATGACCCATAAAGATCCGGGGTAGAATAGGTCTTCAGCAAGCCATGCTTGTCGTAAGAGGTGACTAACGGGATCGGGTGGTCAGGCTCGCTGACTTGGTTGATTCATGTCATCGATTCCAATTGTGTGGATCGATGTTCATGATATTAATCACTGGATTGTCTGGTCCAGATTCGATTATTTACAGACCGCTGTCATATAGCTGGAATATTGCTGAGTGCGGCGTAAAACAACCAACCAAACAAACCCGATTTCATATACTCCAAAACCATGGATCTTTCTGATTTCTGAAAGTGAGGATCAACCAAAAGTATGCATTAAGATTCACCCTTGGACTTCACATGGCTGGAATATTGCCTAAATAACCCCTGATTTATTGAACCCCTGACCTGAAGAGGCCAGGGGTATTTAAGTTATACCAAGCAATTCCGTCAGTCCATCCTAAGAACATTTTTGTGTGTGACCTATAACTTGAAAACTACTGCATAGATTCTTTTCAAACTTTCCATACCAATAGGCAAGGTGCAACGCAAAGTTTAAGTTCAATATTTGGATTTTCTGAAACAATACAGCTTTTTAGTCATGTTTTTAATTAAATCTTTTTTTTTTAAAACATTTGTGCGATCTGTAACTTGAAAACTACTGCATGGAGTCTTTACAAATTTGTACCCAAATGTTCAAACTGACATATCCTGATGTTCATACTGATTTTAGCTATTACGAGCAAAAACGAGTTTTGAGTTAAAAAAAACTGTTGACAGACTAATATGGCCAAAAAAACAACTAAAAAGCCTTGAAAATGTTCCAGATTTGTATGAACCTTTAATACATGTAGTTCTTGTTACATACCAGGAACTGGGTCTTGCAAGAAACATAACGGGTCATTCCAGATGTTCACCTGTCTCAGACTAGTGGCCATGTGTAACACTGGTGTGCTCATCAACACAACCAGTATGTTCAAACATTGATGAAATGGGTATTTTGTACAGATTCTCACACAACTTCAGCAGCAGACACTACTGGCTATTCATCTTGTACTGCATGAAGCAAACCTTCAGACTGCTGTTTATGCAAGACTGAATTTACCAAATTGCACCTATGTGGGCGTTGGTCAGTTGTTAGATCCCCAGCTATGTCATACCAAAAGATGGTACTTGTTTCATTGTTGGTAACTCCGTGAGCTAGCACTGTAAAACTGCACAGTACCAAATGTACGCACACACACGTGCAGTAATCACACTGTTTCACCTGACCAATAAACCAAACAAAGTTATGCGGATTTTTTTATTAAAAAGTATTCAAATCACTACAGTTGATTTTGATGAACATATCAGATACTACTAAAAAACATAATGTTTCAGAAATTTGAGACATCCCCTCACTTACACCCCAAGATTTACCTGGGGGTAATTTCGAAAATGGCCTCCTGGGTTATAGAGAAAATAACCATGTGGCACAAAGACCAGTGAAGAGCAGCTTCTTAACAATAGATTAACTCTTATCAAGAAAAGACTAACAACTGTGTTGGGGAACAGGTCAATATTTTATTGACAATAAATTCTTTATGTTAAAACAATGTAAAAGTACCTCCATTACTACAATGTACAACATGAAATGATAATTAAAAAAATGAACAAGCCTTGAGACGGAGGGTGGGAGTCTTACTTTCTCGCCTGTGGGGAGAAGACTGAGCGTCATGGGTGAGGTACAGCACCGTCGCGGGTAACAGAAGCATGGGTGGATCGTGACCTGAGCAGCGGATCGGCTGCATTGTGCTTACCGAGTTAAACCTAAGTCAAGCTTTACTCATTATTTACCACCTAAATCATGGTTTTCAGGGTTTTGTTTTTCCTAATTTCTAATTGGCTTGTGTGTTGTCATGGCATTTGTGCATTGCAACATCTATCTTTAAATAGACAGTTGAAATTCCAAGTTTCTATTTTATGAAAGTTATTTCAGTGTCACTTTATTCTCATTTTATCTTAAACAACTAGTGGAGAAGCAGTCAGTATTTTTTAAGAAAATATATTGTAAATACTCATTCTGAATATAGATTTTCTTAGCAAATTTATTGCGTAAGTTATGACACTTTTGCGAGTATTTCAGGAAATTATGTGTGATATAAAACCCTCAGTTTTTTGGTTACTTTTGTTTGTCTAAAATATGGGGCCAATTTCTCCAAATTGTCTAGGGGCTATTTCCATCGAACATGAAACTTTTGAACTGCTCAATCTGAACCAGAACGAAATAAATCAGCCCTTTATACTGATATCCTGCTTCAGAGGCCGGTGTTTTTATGGTACTCTGACAACCCTCTCTTAACACAAAGTTCTGAAACATGACGCAGGATCACTTCTTCTTGGACTTTGACCTGTCCTGAACCACCATCTTCCTGAAGGTCATGTTGATCCTGACCCCTGTAAGTTTTTTCCTCTGGGGAAGGGAGTGGTACCAGAAGCTGTTTGTGGGGTGGTTCATCATCAGAAGACAGCCGTGCTGCAGCTCAATCTGGACTGGTTTGATCTTCCGTGATGCATTCTTGCCTCGAGCATCCTGGTGCTTGAACACAAAGTCCCGAGGTTGCCCCAGAGACAGTGATGCAATCGGGTGGCCCCTGACCAGATCCTTCTCATCATCCTTGTGTTCACCAATGTGGTCGCATCCATCCTTATATCTGGAGAGGAAAAGGGTGGCTTGTCATTGATGGTGTGAGTGAGTGGGATTTAACATGTGTTGGACAGTGTTATAGGTTCTATAAACGTTTGTCAGATTAATGTGGGACGAAAGCCCCAAGTGAGAAAGTCATTGACATTAACCATGTGTCAATGACCTTGTTTTGTTTGTTGTTTAAAGCCGCACTCAGCAATATTCCAGCTATATGATGGCGGTCTGTAAATAATCAAGTCTAGACAAGACAATCCAGTGATTGACATCATGAGCATCGATCCACGCAATTGGGATACGATGACTTGCAGTGACCTTGACTATGGTCTTGACGTTATATCCTGCAACAATTTCAAGTCTCAGGAGCATGTTAAAGCAAACAAATGATGACGACCATGTCCTCTGACTGACATGCCACCGACACTTGCGGAATTAGGACTTCTTGAGAAGTATTCAAATTTGTTACTGCTTGTAAAAAAAAGTTTTAAAAAACCTTATTTCTATTTTGACATTTCATAAATACAAACTCCAGTGACTATAATTCTGAATCCTAGAATATACTCATCTTGAACACCCAACCCAGAAAATACCACAACATTTGTTTAGGGTGGACAAGTGTCAACCAAATATGAACCTGTTAATGAGAACAAAGTTGAACTCCTTTCCAGTGACGCTTGAAATCGTGTCTCTGATGGAGGCAAGGAGGGGTAGCCATGGCCGGGCATGGACAGTGTTTCCAGAGAAGGAGTATGACAGACCAGAGTCACCATGGGCAACCTAAAAACAAATCTTTCTTTTTTTCATTGCCCTATTGATATTTCTTAAATCTATTAATGTGACAAAGTTTATTTATTATCATGTTCAGTAAAATTCTAATTTTTAATATTTAGTCGTCTTTACATTTGTGCTATGTATCAATCAAGTTAGGAGTCAACTAGCCTATGACACAGTTCACCGGGAGCTGGGAGAAACACTGATATACCCATATACATTAAATATTATGCATATTTTCAGAAAAGGTGCCCAAGCTGTTTGTGAATTGTAGTTTCAAAAAGAAATTATAAAACAGTCAAATGGTATGAATAAACACAAGGGGGCTACATGGAAAATAATTGCCCGCTCCTTAACCAATCAGAATAGTATTTTAATGTAAGGGGAGATAATGACATGGAAGCAGCCAGCAGCCCGATCCACAAAGCCTTTATAGTTCAACAATAATTCTCAAGTCTATGATTAACTATAGAGTTATGATAGGTCATAAGACTGGACCCAGGTTATCAAGCTATTCAGTGCCCTTTATTATGGTATATGGTGGCCTATTCTAAACCAGAATATTTTGTAATGGCAGTTTGTACCTATCTCTTGAGACTTGCGGGTACCCGGTTAGGGTCGGGTAATAGAGGGTGGGTACCCCGGTAGAAAATTTGGACTCATCCCAGCCCTTACTGCCTCACACCTGTCCATATGCTTGTCAATCATACACTTGCTTGATAACGGTGTTAGAACCTACACCGGAACTTTGCTCCAAATTGTAACAAGAAGTTGTTCATCCATATATCTTATCCTTACATATTAATTCACACACTGTTATTTCTCTGGAATACCTGTTTTCTGGGAATGTCATGCCACTTGCCAAAGATCTGCACCCTGGCGAGATGTCCTGAGTTATATTCAATCACCCTCTCACATTCGGACATTAGCTCGTCCGCCTCACGGCGAGAATACAGTCGCAGGTAGTCACAATCTAACTTTTCACCCGAGATTTTTCGCCATTTCAGATCCGATTTCGTAGTCACTGTCAACAACTTCGGCTGTGCATCGACGTCGTCTTGACTGTCTTCATCCACACGTGGACTTGCATCAATGCTGTGAATGGCTACAGCTGTCTGTTCTAAGTCATTTGCTTTGCCATCAGATATTATAGAATCCTCAGATTCAACAGTGGCATTGGACGGAGATATTTTAGAATCTTCAGACTCAACTTTTACATTGGACGGATCGTGTTTTGTTTTCTTGTTTTTACTGACTTGGACACATTCACCATCTAATGGTATTTTTCTCTTCGTCTTTTTGACGAAACTGTCAAGTGACATTTCAGAATTGTCCATGTGATTGCACAACATGCTTTTTGATCACAATTGGTTAGAGTGACTTCCCTTGGACTCCAGGCGCGTTGTTTAAAAAAACTGAATTTGATTGTAAATCTTTCAGCTTAATATTACTGTACTGTACACATCTAGAATGTACATAGCAAACACCCATACAGCTGTTTTCAACACACGCAGATTCGGATTCCAATCCATAAAGAAACAGATCAACAATTGGTTCCCCCAACTCCTTGCCTGAATGTCATACATCGAAATTGTACATAGATGTTATCAATGAGGAAGTCCGGCATTTCATATATTGTTGAAGATAGATATGTAACTATATTGAAATGTCAATTTTAACTCTGATATCTGTGAGGACTACAAAGAAACATTTTCACTACATGAATTGCATACTGCCCATGACTCGGCCGCAGGAACCGACAACATACATTATCAGCCCCTGAAACACTTGTCCATTCATGTTTGGAAACGCTACGTAATATAATCGATGAAATATGGACAACCAGACATTTTCCTCCTTCGTGGCATAACGTCATTATAATAATATTATAATTGTCATTACGTCATTTCAAAGCCTGGCCGGATCCATACTGATCCATCCAATTACTGTCCCCTATAATTAACAAACTGTGTTTGTAAAATCATGGAGATCTATCGATTCGTCGTGTAGTTGGAGACCAATAACACTCCGAATAACATCAAGTGTGGTTTCCGAAAAGACAGAAATACCATTGATCATTTGGTGCGTTAAGAATAATTTATTTAAAATCCCATTGTCAACAAAGAACGTGCTGTATAAATCTTCGACTTCGACTAAGAGAGTGAGTGAGTTGGGTTTATCGCCGCTTCTAACAGTATTCCAGTTATATCACGGCGTGTCAGCTTAATGTGGGAGGAAAGCCCGAAGTGATGCAGGGCTCAGACGTTTACCACTTTGGTGAAACCCACGAGCATGGGTATGGTGCTGACAAACCTAGAAAAAATCGGGGTGAACCGGGATTCGAACCAACATAGGACGCAACTCTGCACAGCGAACTGCGGCGCCTTAAACGACTGTGCCACCCGTGCCCCCTCGACTAAGAGAAGGCATATGGCACAACGTGTAAACATGGTATTTAAAAATATTTGTTTGAATTTGGCTTGAGGGTCAGATTACATCATGTCATATCTCAGTATTTAAACAACAGACAATTTCAAGTACTAGTAGGCTCTACCCTGTCTGATCACTCCAATCACGATCAGGGCGTACCTCAAGGCAGCATCCTATCTGTCACCCGTTTAAGCATAAACATTAAGAGTCTTGTGTTGGCGGGTAAATTTCATCATTTCTTTTCGTGGAAAGAATATGGATACGAAAGAAAGACAGCTACAAACATGGGTCAAAGAAAATGGCTTCAGGATTTCTAAATAAAAAAGAAACTGCATTAACTTTTGTCGTAAATACAAACCGCACGTGGATCCAGAAATATTTTCAGATGGTTCTCCCATCAAGGTGGTTGAGGAGGCTTAGTCCTGGGGCTCATACTTGATAATCTGACATAGTTACCATACAACACATATCTAAAAGCAAAGTGCCTAAACAAGGGAGGTTGCTTAATTGACATACAACTTCTTCTTTGCAATGAATGCGACGTTTTGGTGTAGATACTAACATGTGGACCCGTGAAGATCCGGGTTAGAACAGGTCTTCAGCAACCCATGCTTGCCGTAAAAGGCGACCATGTTGTCGTAAGAGGTGACTAACAGGATCGGGTGGTCAGGCTCGCTGATTTGGTTGGTGCATGTCATCGTATCCCAATTGCGTGGATCGATGCTCATGATACCGATCACTGGATTATCTGGTCGAGAGATTATTTACAGACCTCCGTCATATAGCTGGAATATTGCTGAGTGCGGCGTTAAACAACAAACAAACAAAACAAAGCTAAATGTGAATTAGGAAGGTTCTATGCATGTGGATAATTGATGTTTTGACAAGGTTGAATGATGATAGCTTGGTGTTTACAGATAAGGTTGAAGTATGAAGCCTGATGAATACATAGGATTGACAATCACTGGATTGTCTGGTCGAGAACCGTTTATTTACAAACCGCTGTCACATAGCTGGAATATTGCTGAGTGCGGCGTTAAACAACAAACAAACATGTTTCATCTTCCCGAGGCAAGGGCGTTAACTGACTATAAAAGTCCAGTTTCCACCCTTGCCGAACAAGGCTGGAATTCCGGAGTTACATTTTGGCTGGATTAACGAGTCAATGCATAGTCTAATAAAAATCGTGTAACGAACTAGATATCCGGTTTGTAAACAAAGGGGATTTCAACGTGCAGATATTGGTCGACTGAAGGATTTGCAAACATTCACCTGAACAGTTCGATAACATCCACATTTTAAGACCAGCAGTTTGTACATGCTCAGAAGCTATTCAGGGGCATCTTCCGGAGGCAAGAGAGTTAACTGACTATAAAAGTCCAAAATCCACCCTTGCCGAACTGGGCTGGTATTATGGAGTTACATTTTGGCTGGACTAACGAGTCTATGCATAGTCCAATCAAAATGGCGCATCGAAATCCGGTTCGTAAACTGTCGTGCAGATTTCGATCGATTGCAGGATTTGCAAAGCATGTGCACCTCCAACTCGTTGTCAGCAGATATTTTCCAAATCTTTTCATGTTTTTAATCAAGGAACTTACGTGATTTGATGCATTTCGCGATGTAACACCCTTTGTATCACAATATAGGTCTTGATTATCGATCAGATCGTCCTGACTTGGCGCCACCATTTTTCGTGAAGCAAACGCAAGTGATGGAATCTGATTGGTCCATAGGAGAGGCTTAAAAGGGACGTAACTGGTAATAGCCACTGGTGGCGCTACGATCGAGCCCAGTAATTCCAGCATAGTTCGGCAAGGGTGGAAACTGGACTTTTAAAGTCAGTTAACTCTCTTGCTTTGGGAAGATGATTCAGGGGGTATGTCTCATAAGCTGAATTTATGTGGATAACTACGTGTTCTACTGTGCACAGTTAGAGTCCAAAGATGTGACCAAAGTGATGTCCGTTGCACTTCCCTCTTCAGACTTCTGCCGTGTGTTCCTGTGTTTGTTCATTTGAATACTTGACTTGCCTGTCATGTGTTTGTGAGGGGTGCATCGGTTGGACAGGACACGCTCTCATTTTCGCGAACGCCTGGTATCATCACTATTAGGATAGTGTTTGTTTGTTGTTTAACGCCGCACTCAGCAATATTCCAGCTATTTGACGGCGGTTTGTAAATAATCGAGTCTGGACCAGACAGTCCAGTTATTGACATGAGCATCGATCTACGCAACTGGGTTAAGATGACATGCATCAACCATGTCAGCGAACCTGACCACCCGATCCTGTTAGTCGCCTCTTACGACAAGCATAGTCGCCTCTTACGTGAGTGAGTGAGATTGGTTTTACGCCGCTGTTAGCAATATTCAAGCAATATCACGGCGGGGGACATCAGAAATGGGCTTCACCCATTGTACCCATGTCGGGATTCGAAGCCGGGTCTTCGGCGTGACGGGCGAACGCTTTAACCACTAGGCTACCCGACCGCCCCCGCCTCTTACGACAAGCATTGGTTGCTGAAGACCAATTCAAACTCGGAATCTTCACGGGACTATGAGGACAGTGAGTTCTAAACACATTCTTATGAAAGTCGTGATCGTACAATAGACTGCTAAAAGCATAGATTTCTTATGATTTTGGAAACAATCTTTTATTTTAATACATGTGTAGAATAAGATGAAAAATAATTTCAGTTCCTGAAAACTACGCACATTAATATTCTTTGTACTGTGTATATTTTTAAATTCATAACTACATTAACCGGAATACAATAAGATATTCCTGAAACATATCCGTTTCAGTAGGTCACACCTTACTTTATTTCATAGCCCGCCGTTCAGTTATTAAAAATTCATATTAAGCATCACATTGAGGTTACGAGTTCATTCATTTACATTACTAACTGCGTGGATTCTGGGTTAGCGTTGTCGTACGGCCTGCCTTCTTATGGCCAGACTTTGGACCAGAGCGCTTCTGTTTTAAGCTACATGGTCCGTGGAGATTCCAGGGTAGAATTGGGCCACAGCACCCTATGCTGGTCGTATGAAGGAACCAAATGGTTCGGGTGGTCAGGCTTGGTGACTGGGCGTGAATATACCCCGACGGCGTGGAGCGTTGCACATATCAATCACGAGATTGTCTGGTCCTGATTCTTTTATGTATAGACCGCCGTCACTCACACACACATGCACACGCACACACCAACGTCATTTAAACCCACCCCAATCTTGACAATGTCAGAAATCGAATTCGGCGAACTCTTTGGAAAATAATTTGGATGACTGTCATTTTAACAGTATTTTGTATTCGAGTCCCAGGTTTTTAGCTTCTCTTTTATTAATGGAGATGTTACGCATTTTGACCTGGCAAAAACTGTGCCTGTTTTATGATTCAATGTGAGTTATTTGCGTTCATCCTCTTCGTCAAGATTAGGTCGCAACTGTCATAATATTAACTCAAGCTTTCATGTATTAGGTAGACTTTGTCACCAGGCCGAAGATCAGGGCTCGATTCCGCACATGGATACAACATGTGACAACAAACAAACAAATAAATACAATGTGTGAAGCCTATTTCTGGTGTCCCCTATTGCTGAATATTGCTAAAAGCGGCGTAAAAGCATACTTACTCACTCCCATGCACAAACAAATCCAAAGTGAGTTTCCCATGTAGGGGTTCCGAGGCATGAGAAGTCCCAAGATCCTCAATTTTGAAGTTGTAGAGTTTCCTAATTACCCTAAGCAACTGGGCCGAAATGTTTGTTTGTTTGTTTGTTTGTTGTTTAACGCCGCACTCAGCAGTATTCCAGCTGTATGACGGCGGTCTGTAAATAATCGAGTCTGGACCAGGCAATCCAGTGATTGACATCATGAGCATCGATTCACGCAATTGGGATCGATGACATGCATCAACCAAGTCAGCGAAC